AGGTGGCTAACCCGGAGCATATAAAGCTAAAAGTGGTGGACCAGGCTCATAATGAGATCCACTATCGGGTCAAAGTGAGCGCACAGTTCGCCAAACTCAAGAAGTCCTACTCGGAAAGGGCTGGTGTGCCCCTCCAGTCCCTCCGGTTCTACTTCGACAGGCGCCGTATCCACGACACGGACACACCGGCGCTCCTCCAGATGGAGACCGACGACGCCATTGAGGTCTATGAGGAACAGGTTGGCGGTGATGGACAACACTTCCTGATGGTGTTCATGGTTTGAGACACTCGGATGGTATGACTGGTTGAGGAACTACTGGTGCGATACATATCATACTATTTTGTAAATAGGCTTATAATGTGATAAAAAAGTTTGTGTTAATTACTGTATATAAAAGTTGGTGTGAATTGTGTCCGCACTTTGTTTTTTGTATCAAATATTGTTTTAGATTTTGTTATTAAACTTTTTGGTATTCATTAATTATTTATTTATTTATTTAAATATAATTATTATTTTTGTCACAAATTATATATAAATATATATATACTTTAATATATTAATAAGTACATTGTGTTAAGCACCGGGATCACAGAATTGTACTCGCTATTCATACATTTATGCAATAGTTTTAAACTTTCACTACCAAACATTTATATGAGTTTTTTTTCTAAATAATTATACACTGGTCATACTCTATAGTGAAAATAATGTAAATTTTACATTTCACACAACTCCAGCCTTTTCATATGCAATATCCAGACTTTTTTCACTTTAATTACAACACAAAAAAAGGCTTTTATATAGCACTCAAAGATTTGGAGTCAAAATGTATTGCATTGCTTACAGTGCTATACAATAGAGACTGTCATTAAATGCATTGAATCTCTTATTTAGTGCTAAAAAGGCATTGCTTTTCAAACAATCAGTCTATGAGTGAGTGAATCGGACATCGGATTAACCTTTGCTTTCATTTCACGCAATATTCACACAATTAATGTAAGTATGGATCCAATGATCACCACAACAGATGCCATCCATGGTTGACAACATGCGATACATCCCTCACTAATGGTATTCAACGTACGTATGATTAATACAGCGAAGAGAGGGTCGGTATCCCATCGGACATGTCATCGGCGACGGGAACGGTAGACGGAGGGGCGGCTGCGGACTGGGAGCACATAGAGCTGAAAGTGTTGGGTCAGGACAGCCACGAGACCCGATTCCGCGTCAAACTCACCACACGGTTGGCTAAACTCAAGAAATCGTACGCCGAGGCGAAGCGCCTACAGCTCCGGGAACTCCGGTTCTTGTTTGACGGCCACACCATTCAAGACAGAGACACGCCGGCGCTCCTCCAGATGCTTAATGGGGACGTCATTGAGGTCTATCCGCCACAGGATGGCGGTGATGGCGGTGCCGACGATGGCAACCACTTCCAGACGGTGTCCACCGTTTAAGACACTTATCTCTTATGCATTTTGGGTTCAATTATTGTTTTAGATTTTCTAGTATTGAATGTGTTTTTAATTTTGAGTCCAGAAATTGAATTCAAATGATTTTTATCACACAATTTGTATTCATTTGTATTAATATTAATATTCAGCAAACAATTCATAACTATTTGAAAGTATGTGTGAATTATATTCAATAGTTTCTAATGTTTAGCAAATGTTTCATAAATTTGTTATACTTTACGAAATGTTTTACATTCACTTAATACCGGGGTAATTTTATTTGACACCAAATTGTGTATACCCTGATAATTTATTTTTCAACCCGCTTGGCGACCCATCCATACGCCTGTTCGCGGGCATACCGGTGCCATTGTCTGCCAACCGGTCAACTACTGACCCCATCAGCGAAATCTGACGCACTTTGAGACGGAGACACAGGTATGCGATCAGTCTGTAGACCACTGCCTGAGCGATCAGTTTTTGCCAACTCATGGCATACATGTAGTCGTGGTATT